TTTTCTTTTTTTATTCTGGGCCAGCTTTAGCTCTGAGGCTTGGCTCCAGCTCTGAGGCCTCGGCTGCTGAAAGCAGGTATCTGGTTTGTTTGGGTTCTATAATCGAAACACTGTTTCAACTCCAGCTCTGAGATCCCGGCTGGCTGAAAGCAGGTTTCTGGGGTTTTGTTTAGCTTCTATATTTGTAATAATGTTTCAAACTGCAAGCTCAGAGGCCGGTAGCGGCAGGCGGGGAACGTTGGCTTCCTCCGTCACTGAAGCAAGCAAGCCTCCTGTTCGCTTCAAGCTGCCTGGCTGCCGGCCGCCATCTTGGCTGGCAGTTAATTTACATATTGCCCTGATTAGCCAATGGGAAGGGTAGCAGAGGTACAGCTAATTACCATGTTTCTCTATTATTAGATAGGATTACTTTGCACAATTTCTGCACATCACTAATCACTGAATCGATGTGCTGTGGATACAGTTACTTTCCATCTAAACAGAGTCTCCGTCTTCTGCTGAATGTTGCTATATCTGATGGAACACCAGAATGGTGGCCACTCTGGCCATCACCAGAAAAGCTAATCTGGGCAACACAGAGTAAGCAGAGGACGGGAAGAACTGGGTCTGTCAAGATGTCATTGAGGCAATGAGTAGCAACTCTGAGTCAACTTACGTTCAGACTTCTTGCTACAGGAGAATATAATCACCCTTGTTGTTGCAGCTCTTTAGTTACATGCAGCCAGGTCATCACAAGTGAGAGATTGAGTGAGTGAATGAATGAATGAATGAATTAATAACTCCATCCAGTAGCATAAGAAAGCCAACTCCCTTACAATCAAGTTAATGTCTTGTCTTGGAGATTTCCAAAACTGCTTACTATTCCTAAAAGACTTATGGCAGTAAGACAATAAAATCTTGATTGTCAAGAAGTTTAGCATATACAGTTTTCTGGATAAATTTGTCTTTTAGGTGAAAGCTGCACTTTGCAAGGGAAAAGAATCTCTTATCAGGGTGTTATTTAAAAAACAAAGATAATATTCTTAGAGACGTGTCCACGTCAATACACATCCAGTCCAATCTCCTAAATGTTAGCATGCATGAGCCTAACGTGGAGACCTTTTTAAAACAGCCCATCTGGAGATTTAGATTCAGAGAGATGTGGAGGAGTCCAAGAATCTGTGTTTATCCAGCATGTGGATGTGGCTGGTCTGCAGACCACACACACTTCAAGAAGCCTTATTCTAAAACTTCCACTTTCTATCTATGGAACTGAACCATAAGAAGTGATGTTTCACACAATAATCAAGGGAGCAGGTTCAACTGATGGGAAGATCCAGAAGATGGGGGCCATATTTTGGCTTATCTATCCACCAGAATTAGACTGTAATCCGGCACGTCACTTAAGCCGTCTATGTCTAAATGTCCCCATTTATTGAAAATGACAAGGATTAATAGTTCTCTACATTGTCACCCCTCCGACTGATTGTAAAGACCAAGTGATTCCAGTGGGTGTACTGTACAAATTAAGAAAATGCTCTTTGTCAGAACTCTGGTGTTTATTGAGCTCCTTAATAAAAGAATTATTTGTGTTCATTAGGCCCTGTTTATCAAGAAAAAATGGGGACTCATATTTTTGAAAAATTGCTACATGGTCAAACTGTAAAGGGGATTTTCTTAATTTCCAGTCAACCTGAGAACTTGTTAACCAGAACACCCTATACCTAAGCATCCTAACTGAGTTTTCATGTATATGATGTACATTTATTAACAATATGTGCATTTGTGAGTAGACTCCCTATCGAAGGAAGTTTCTTTGACTTGGGCAAAAATTAATGGGCCCAACAACCCATAGAATGGAAGACAATATTTGCAAATCATTTATCCAATATAGGATTAATATCCATAATATATAGAGGATGCCTAAAACTCGACAACAATAACAAAAAACTACCCGGTTCAAAAATAGGCAAAGGATTTCAATGGACATTTCTCCAAAGATATATGATTGGCCAAAAAACACATGAAAAGATGCTCACTTAGTCATTGAGGAAATGCAAATCAAAACTACAATGAGACTCCACCTCACACCCATTAGGATGGCTACTATTTTTAAAAAACATGTAAAACAAGTGCTGGTGAAGATGGAGAAATGGGAGCCCTTGTACTGTTCATGGCAAAACAGTATGGCAGTTCCTAAAAAATTAAACATAAAATTACCATATGATTCAGCAATTCCACTTCTGGGTATATACCCAAAAGAATTGAAGCTGGGTCTTGGAAAGATATTTGTACATCCATGTTCATAGCAGTATCATTCACAGTAGCTAAAAAACATAAGCAACCCAAATGTCCATTAACAGATGACTGGATAAGCAAAATGTAGTACATATAATGGGATATTACTCAGCCTTAACAAGGAAGGAAGTTCTGCAAAATGCTGTAACAAGGATAAACCTCGAGGATATTATGCTAAGTGAAAAAAGCCAGTCACCAAAAGCCAAATACTGTATGATTCCACTTTTTTTTTCTTATTAGTTAAGGTATTACAAATGTGTCCTTATCCCCCCCATTAA